CTGTAAAGTTAAAAAAAAAAAAAAAAAAAAAAAGAACACCCAGTATTTTAGAAAAGCCACTACTGGGATTCATTCAAGCACTCAAACCCACCTTCTAGGCCTGAGAGATCCTTTTAACTAGACACGAAGATTGTCCACTGCCCCATTTTGGATATTTACATAGAAATCGAAAGGTTACAAAACTATTTCAGACCTTAATATTTTTACAGCATTTTCCCTTTCAGAGGACTAGGTACACTGAGCACCAGCATTTGAATGCTCAGTCCACTTAAGTGTACTATTTGGCATGTGGAATAAATAAGGCACAAGAATGTTGAGAATCAGTGAGGTGGGGGTGCAGCTAGACAGCACAGGAAACCAGTAACACCCTTCCCTTAGCTGGGCCCCCAAATGATTTGGGAGGGGGGGCTTCAAATAGTAGGCACTGCAAGAAACATTTACGGAAGTAGTCATCAGAATGACTTTGTGCAAAAAGAAACAGTGTATAAGGTAATCCTTCACATACTTGCAACATAATGATACTTACGAACACACCGGTCAATTTATCTAGCATCCAATGTTTTGGAGCTGCAACCCGCTTCAGATGCTTCTTAGGGCCCCGAGCCTGAAGGAAAGTTAGATTTCAATGCTGTAGGAGGATTTCATGTTTAACGGCAGCTTACAAAACCTAGTAACTTCTTGAAAGAACTGACACTCTTCCGCAAAATGTAGACAATGTTATAAACTGAAGAGATGCACAGACGGCATCCTGCCAATGCTATAAGCTTCATAAACTACAACTAGCACTGTCATTATAGAGAATACAAGGGTACTCCAACCAAGCAGCCTTTTTCCTAATATACATTTTCCACTAACCTTTTGAAGATCCTCCCAATTTATTACTACCCTTCAGAACGGTGCTTAGTAGTTTCACATTACCCCCAATACGGCCCAGATTTTCACTCGTGTTTCTATGTTGGTCAACAAGTGAAGTTTTTGCAATACAATCGTCAAATTTTGACATGTCTAGTTCCCGATCAATCTGATCTCACCAGAAGCACGTGTGCTGCTACTTCCACCCAAAAGGTGTTACCAATTTTCACTTTAAAAGGCGAAGGAAATCTTTAACACATGCTTACCAGCCACACATCGTAAACTCGTGCCAAACAGAAGGATAAAACCCCCTTCTCTCCCAGGTAGACCCAGCATCCACCCACCCAGGGATCGCCCCCGTCTCTGCTCCTGGCCCACCCGCAGATCCCGCCCGGGAGCAAAGCTGCTCTTCCCGGAGTCGGAACATGCGTGGCGTGGCTGGAGATCGAGGCCTTCCTGCCAGCAGCACCGACCTCTCCACCCCGAGGCCAGCGTTCGCCCTCGCCCTGGAGCCCTTCTCCCCCACCCCCGGAGGCCGC